TTGTTGGATTTTTACCCAGTTTTGGTATCAGTGTAATGTTAGCTTCGTAAAATGATTTGGGGAGAATTCCATCTTTCTCAATTGCCTGGAATACTTTCAATAGGATTGGTATCAGCTCCTCCTTGTATGTTGTGTAGAATTCTACTGGAAAGCCATCCAGTATAGGGCTTATTTTGTAGGTAGTTTTTGTATGACAGAGTCAATTTCCTGGGTTGTTATTGGTCTATTTAGTGTCTCAATGTCTTCTTGTTTTAACCTGGGGAGGTTGTGTGATGTCAGAAAGTCCTCCATTTCATCTAGGTTATAAAGTTTGTTTCCATGTAGGTATACATAGTAATCTCTGATAATCTTTTGTATTTCTTCATAAAACTTCTTTAAGAAATAGTAATAATCACTGTTAGTTATGGAGAATATATTATGAGCCTTAGATGCATTATTTCATTTATTTTCTCAAAGCTACTATGTCAGTTAGATATTATCATTTCCATTTTATAGATGAGTAGACCACTTGCTGCAAAATTAAATGACTTGCCTAAGATCACACAACTGTCGCATGGGAGAGTCTAGATTCTCACTCTTGGTTCATATCCACATATCTGACACATTGCCCCTGTGCTAGACACAGTAAAGACCTAAGTGAGATCTCTCAGGCATGGACCTATGACTTCTGTCTGGTTTTTTAAGCCTTTTTCTTCAGAAATAAAACGCATAGCAACAGTGAGCAACTCCATGCTGCACTCTTTTGCCTTTGTCTTATATTCTCTGATAAATAAGACAAAGATCATGATTGTCTAGGCCTCTAATTCACACTTCAAATGACTTCCTGGAAGGTCCCAGATGGTTCATTCTAGGTATTCTCAGGTCGATAAGTATGAAAACCAGAAAAAATAACGAAGACAGAACAGGAACACGTTGTAAGGAAAACTGCCATAATTTAATATCTGAGGATATTAAATCAAACATATGAAGAGCTGTTGTGTGGAGAAGGGATTAGTTCTACCCTGGGGAGATGAACTAGGGGAACCAATAAAGAAAAATTACAAGCATGAGTTGTGGAGCTCAATATTAAGAAGTTGTTTTGTTTTGTGTGTTTGTTTCTATCTTTTTTCTTTTTTTTAAAATTAGCCCTTTCCAAAGTGGTTCTGGGCTCCTTTGGAAGGTTTGGAATCTTCCAGCATTGATGGTCACTGCAGAGCATGTTGTGAAGGTGTTTTAGGTATCAGTTTTGCCATTTATAGCTTGTGACCTTCTTTCCACAGCACCACATCTCAACAGGTGTTTAAGAACGTTAGCCTAGTGGTCGTCTAGCTCAGAGGCTTATAAAATCTTTGCCAACTTAGAAGGTTGCTTTTAAGAGAGTTATTGAATAAAGACTACAACAATGGGTGGAGAAAGTCATGAAGTGCCTTTACCACTGTATCCCTACCAGGACAGGCAGGGTAGTGCTTCCTCTGTTTGGCTCTGATCCCAGGGGAGTAGCCCATGAAAACAGAGTGAAGGTGTGTAGCAGAGCCTGATGGTGGTGGAGAGGTGGGGACAGTCAGAGTGCAGAGCTTCAAGATGGCCTTCGAAGACTTCCTTTGGAATCCTGACTTTGACATGTAATGTACACTCTCCGTTTTGTATATTCATAAACATTTGAAAAATTAGTATTTACTTCCACAAATATTCATGACTGTACTCTCCAGGTTAAAAAAATCAAACTATTATAGATAAGACTAAACATTGTTTAATACATATCTCCAGTGCTCAATAGAAGGTCTATACAGAGTAGGTTGAAAGTACAGATGAAGGATGCAACAGAGACTGGGCAAGGTGGCTCATGCCTATAATCCTAGCACTTTGGGAGCTGAGGCTAGAGGATTGCATGAAAACAGGAGTTCAAGACCAGCTTGGGCAACATAGCGAGACCTCGTCTGTACAAAAAATTAAAACAACAACAACAACAACACCAAAAAACTAGCCAGGCTTGGTGGTGTCCTCCTGTAGCCCTAGCTACTCAGGAAGTTGAGGCAGAAGAATTGCCTGAGCCCAGGAAGTCGAGGCTCTGTGAGCCATGACTGTGCCACTGCACTCCAGCCTGGGTAATAAGTGAGACCCCAACTAAAAATAAACAAATAAATGATTTTTTTGAAAAGGGTGCAACAAGAAACCTAGGATCTGGGTTTACTCTCACTATTCTGTCATGATAAAATGTTTAATAATAATTTTTATTCCGGTAATAGTAATAAGTGATCAATTTGGAAAACCTAGAACAAATAGGCTAAAAAATTTTTCTGTTGTCCTGCCACATGAACATAATGTTGGTAAACACTCCTATTGTTCTTTTGTTTATCCCTAAATATTTATCCTTGTAATATGTGTTCTTTTATTTGTTTGTTACATTTTTCAGAACAGCCATTTTGTCTCCCTTGTAAATGGCAAAGGCTGTGAGAACACCAGCTGCAATTTTGAATCTCATTTCAGCTTCCTAAATCTTGTAATTAGAGAAAATCCTAATGAGAGAGCAATAGTTTGGCTGAAATTCTAATTCCTAGCATTGTTCTGAGTGTTCATTTGTGTCTTGAGGATCCTGCTGTTTGAGTGGGGCCACTGGAGAGACTGATTCATGGTCTGCCGGCCAGCTGCTGTGGGGGGCAGAAGTCTCCAGTGGGGGGACTTTGATAAATCACCTCTCAGTTGTCTTAGTTATTGGATTTGTAAGTGTGCAATGGGAATAACAGACTGCCTCATCTCTGTCGTCTGGTGCATATGCGATGTCAAAGCAAATGAGACTATAGGTGATAAAGTTGGCATCATCATTGTGGGAAATAAAGATGATTCATTAACATTGCTAAGATTGTTAGCGATTCAGGGAAGAACAAACAAAACTTGACATCTCTGCCTTATACTTAATATCCAAATCTGCTCTAGAGGCAGAATGGCATTATGTTTGAGCACTGAGAATCTATGTAAGACCTGGATCCACATCCTGGCTCTGCCACTTACTAACTGTGTGACTTTGACCAAGTTACTTCACCATTATATGCTTCTACATTCTCATCTATACAATGAAGATGATAATAGTAGCTACTCCCTTAGGTAGTTGTGAACATTAAATTAGTTACTATATTAGTTATTGTTTAGAACTAAGGTTTAGAATAGTATCTGACACAAAGCAGGTTCCATAAAATTGTTTGCTATTATTATCATTATGCTTCAAAACATTAAGTATTTTTATTTAAATCAACTGTAAAACAAACAGGGGAAAATATAAATTAATATTGATCTCATTTTAATATAGGGAAAGGCTTCTTAAGCATGCTGTCTGTACAAGAATCCACAAAGGACTGATAGATTTGACTACACAAACATGAAAAGTTTATACTTTCTAGTCACCAATGCAATGCATAAACATTTAACAATATCAAAAGGTAGTTTGAAGTTGTGGGTATCCCAGTTGTCCTGATTTAATCATTACACTTGTATAGATATATTGAAATATTACATATGCCCCCAAAATACTTACAGCTATTCTATATCAATAAATTTTTTAAAAGTTAATTTTAGGTATTTTTTTTTTTTTTTTGATTTGGAGTCTCACTCTGTCACCCAGACTGGAGTGCAGTGGCCTCTCCTGGCCACCGTAGCCTCGACCGGCTCGGCTCTGGTGATCCTTCCGTCTCAGCCTTCCAAGTAGCTGGAACTACAGGCACGCGCTACCACACCCGGCTAATTTTTGATTTATTTTAGAGATGAGGTCTCGCCAAGTTGCCCAGGTGGGTCTCGAACCCACGGGCTCAGGCAATCCACTCACCTCAGCCTCCCAAAGGTGCGGGATTACAGACTGAGCCACTGAACCCGGCTTATTTTGTATTTTTAAAAAGTAAATTAAAAACATAGAATAAATATTTGCTCCATGTCTGACAAATGTAGGGTTTAAACTCAGTTTGGTTGGCTGCCAAAGCTCATGCTATGGATTTATGTTGTATTTTATTATGGTTACTATTAGCATGTCTTCAAAATAAGGCACACATACCACTTATAGGAGTGCATGTATGTGTGTATACGTTTATGCATGTCTTTCTTCCTTAATTCATAAACTATTTAGGTCAGCTTACAATAATATAAGAAGTATAGCATAGCAAATATTAAAAATAGGGAAAATAAGAAAAAGTAGAAACAGCACAAGCAAGGCTGAGGCTGAGCCAGTCTAGCTGTGACTGGGAGTGTGACACAGGAAACCAGAGCTATTTCACAGCCCAGTGTCCATAAGCCCCCATCTCCCTCGTTACTTAATGGGAGTACAAATATTTTGGTACTGAGAACAGCAGAAAAACCTCTTCTGAGTCTTCCGAATAAGATGCGACTGTAATGACTAGCAATCTTACACCATTTTGTCAATAACAGTAATGTATTCGTTCTCTTGGTATAGGCTGATGGCATCACACCAAGGCAAGTTACAGAAAAGCTCTTCCTGAGAGTGGAGGGTGGTGATACTGTGATGCAGCTTGGATGCCACATGGGTCCTTGGCCTGCTTGTCTTCAGATGCCTTCCTTGCACTTCCTCTGCCTTCTTGGTTGGAGTTGGGCTGGACCCTACAGGCTGCATATCCCAGGTTGGGATTGGCTGGTAGAAAGCTCTGTTGGAAGACTGGAGGGTGGGTGGAAGAGAGAAACCAGGGCATTTCTCTCCTCCCCCTTCACTTTGATTGACTGCTTATCAATGGTTTTCCATGAACTATCTTATTACGGTGCCAGCTTCTATCAGGTGACGTTGACTCTCCCGGGCCCCTTAATAACATCACCTCCTTTCTTTATCTTTCCGAGTCAGGTGTGGAGCAGTCTTCTGTGTTTGCTAATAGCTCACTGTTCCCTTTTGTTTTCTCAATTGTTGCATCCCCTGTACAGTCATGCATTGCTTAACGATGGGGATATGTTCTGAGAAATGCATTGTTAGGTTTCAGCACCGTGCGAGCATCATAGGGTGTACTCAAACAAACCTTCATGATAGAGCCTAGGCTGTGTGGTACAGCCTTTTGCTACTAAGCTGCAAACCTGCATAGCACGTTACTGTACTAAACACTGTAGGCCACTGTAACACAGTCGTGAGTATGTGTGTATCTAAACATAGGAAAGATACAGTAAAAACATTATGTGAAAGAAAAATGGTATACCATATAGGGCATTTACTATGAATGGACCTTGCACAACTGGAGGTTGCTCTGGGTGAGTCAGTAAGTGGTAAGTGAATGTGAAAGCCTAGGACAGACTTTATAAACACTGTACACTCAGGATACACTAGATTTATAAAAAAAGCATTTTTCTTTCTTTAATAATAAATAAACCTTAGCTTACTATAATCTTTTTACCTTATAAGCTGTTTAATTTTTTAACTTTTTGACTCATGTAACACTTAAAACATTGTACAACTGCACAAAAATGTTTTTTTATCCTTATTCTATAAACTTTTTTCTATTTTTTTTTTTAACAAAGGCACAAACACACAAAGCCTAGGGTTACTCAGGGTTGGAATCATCAGTATCACTGTCTTCCACCTCCACACTTTGTCCCACTGGAATGTCTCCAAAGACAATAGCATGCATGGAGCTGTCATCTCCTATGGTAACAATGCCTTCTTCTCAAATACTTCCCAAAGGACATACCTGAGTCTGTTTTGCAATGAACTTTTTTTTTCTTTTAATGAGGAGAAGGTGTATACTCTAAAATAATGATAACAAGTATAATGAAGTAAAGACATAAACCAGTAACATAGTCATTTATTTTATTATCAATTATTGTGCAGTATATACAATTATATGTGCTATTCTCTTACAGAGCTGAGAGTGCACTAGGTTTGTTTACATGAGCATCACCACAAACATGTGAGTGATATGGTGTGCCACAAAGCTACAACAGCTACGATATCGCTAAGCCATAGGGATTTTTCAGCACCACTGTGATCTTATGGGACAACTGTCATATATGGGGTCTATTGTTGACTAAAATGTCCTCATTTGGTACATGACTGCATATACTTGAAATACTTGAGGTTTCTGTTTTTCCAATTGATGCAGGCATCAGATTTCAACTGATCTAACTAGATTCTGGATGGTGATGTCATCTCACTATTCAGCAAAATAAAACAAATCAGAAATTGGGGAAATGGCTTCTCCATCAAATCTTCATTGCTAATGTGGGATCCACTACTTATTTTAAAATTGTTCTTTGTGTTACTTCTTTGAGTATACTTTCTTTACCAAAAGGTTGCTTTTGGGTTACGATTTAACCTTTCCAAAAGACAAGGAGTCCTGGACCTCCAATTTCTAGGACTCATTAGGGCAATTTCCAGACAGGCTGCAGGGTGATAATCTACTTGAACATCCATTTGTACTGAGCACAGTGTTAGGAAAATTTGTGCTGTCATGGAGAATTACCATTTAGATTGAAGAAGTGTAATTCATTTGTTTTAGCAATTTCTTTCCAAGAAATTTATGACCTGACAAATGTAACATAGTTGGAACATTGTGGTGTTCTGTTTTATGAAAATTGCTTCTATTACTATATTAATAAAAAAGAACATACACATAATATTAATATCTCAAAAGACATATTAATGCCACTTTTCTATCACCTTAGTGCTGGGTCAGCCCATTTAGAATGGCACTCATAACCAGTTTCTCATAGGAATTAGTCTATTTAGATCTCCCCCACCTGTCAAAGCTGGGATTTGCTTTTTATCCCAAGACATTCTGAATTCTAACCTCCCTGAAAATTTTTTCTTAAAAAAAGCTTTTTCGTACTTTTAAATAGAGGTTACACCATTTATTAGAAAATGAAGGCAGCCCTGTTCCAACCATTATTTTTCTATATATTTCTTGATTTTTTTTTCCTGTTCCAGTTCTACTATGCTTTGCATTGATGATAGGTACTGCTGTCAGGCAGTTCTGTTTTACATATAATTTGAGCTGGTATTTATTTTCTTAAGCTACAAATGTGTAATCACACAAATATAATATTTGTAGTACAGATAGATACAGTTACATATATAAACATACACTGCTTATATTAAAATGCTAGCTAGCACTAGAAATTATTTAACTGTATGGTAATTAAACATTTACTTTTTATGATGATAAAACACATAATGTTGCATCATACTTAGCAGTTCACCAATTTTGAGGCATTTTGTTTTCTTTTTAGAAAAGAAACAGATGAGATGGTGAGAATATTTGTACATAAAGTCATTTCTGAGTTTTAGACTATTGCCTTAGGCAGCACACATTATTTTTCAGTGTTCATATTATGCAGACTATGTTTATCTGCAAAAAATAGATGAGGGTTGGATTCTATTAGCATTTTAAAAGTGTAATATGAAAACATATGTCTTCTAATGGCAATATAGTTACATGGATTTTGTTGTTGGATAGATCTGGACTTGTTTCTCATCACGAGCCAGGTATGTGACCTTGTGCCTTTCTAAGCATCAGTTTCTGTACAACTCAGTAATAATAGCATCTGTATCACCAGTTGTTTGGTGCTATCTGTAACAGAATTATCTGGTTTCCCTTGGGCAGTTCTTACATGTTGGTAGACCTGCTGGTGCCAGGATTTGACTCTCACAACTCTAGTCTCTTCCATTGTTCTCTGCTGCACAGGTTCCCTAATGCAAACCAGATATTCTTGCTTCTGGACACAAAGTGTCAAGTCATTCATGGTCCTAGAGTAGACTGCTGTGCCTGTCCCCATGCCTGTGATAGTTTTCAACAATCAAATGCAGTACTCTTTCTGTTAAGTCAAAAGGCAACTTCAAGATAATCATTATAATCATATTATGATAATAAGGCTTCTCAACCAGTTCTTCAGGTAGTCATGTGTGATAACACATTTGTTTCAGAGTTTGGATGAATATTATTAGCTCAAATCCATTACAGAGTGACTTTAGAAGGAAGAATTCTTTACATATTAGCAACTACACATTATGTAAATGGTCTACGTAAATTTATTTCATTTGCATTTGCACTTGCACATAATAATCAGCAAGAACTGATTTTATTTTAAAGTTAGTGTTTCTTCAAATCTTGGAAGGCATGAAGACACTTGGGAAAATTAAATTGGAATAATGTTTAATATATCTGTAAAATTTTAGAGGTATTGCCAGTGAAGCTTAGATCAAAATAAAATATAATGAGAAAATATAAATAATTGTATGTATTAATATTTCCATTTGTATCTGTCAGAGTGTTACAGTTGTCACATAAATTTTAGATGCTGTCAAAATTTTCAGTGTACATTCAAAAGGAGAGTCATGTTTTATTATTGGTATCACTACTGGGGTTGGGATCATAGTGTAAACACACAATCCAACTTCTCGGTTTACAAATTATTCCAATTACTTTCAGCTTGAGATTTTTCTGTAGACTGCAAAGCAGTCAATATAAGAAGTTTTTCTAGCCGGGCTCGGTGGCTTAGCAAGTAATGTCAGCACTTTGGGAGGTTGAGGTGAGTGGATTGCCTGAGCCTGCCGGTTCGAGACCCGCCTGGGCAACTTGGCAAGCCCTCATCTCTACAATAAATAAAAAAATTAGCCGGGCATGGTAGGGCGCGCCTGTAGTTCCGACTACTTGGAAGGCTGAGGTGGAAGGATGGCCGAAGCCCAGCAGGTCGAGGCTGCGGTGGCCGGGAACGGCCACTGCACTCCAGTCTGGGCAACAAAGCGAGACTCCAACTCAAAAAAAAAAAAAAAAGAAGTTTTCCTGCAGTTGAGAGTTCAAGTTAGCAACATTCATTTGATGACAGCATATTTCCACATGGGCAGATACTCCTACAGATTATGATCTGAAGGATTTATGGATAGCAATTCATTGCCATAATAATTTTACCCCTTGTGTATTTTTATTTATTTGTTTTTTTACTTTTAATTTTTTTATTTTAAAGATGTAGGGTACATTTCAGGGTTAGGTATCCAAATGCTCATTATGCAGGTACCCTTGTTTATGAGTCTTGTGTATTTTTTTTTGAGTTGGAGTTTCACTCTATCGCCCAGACTGTAGTGCAGTGGCCGCTCCCGGCCACGGCAGCCTCGACCTGCTGGGCTCCAGCGATCCTTCCGCTCAGCCTTCCAAGTAGCCAGAATTACAAGTATGCGCTACCACGCCCGGCTGATTTTTTGATTTATTGTAGAGATGACGTCTCGCTGCCCAGGTGGGTCTGGAGCCCGCAGGCTCAGGTAATCCACTCACCTCAGCCTCCCAAAGGTGCGGGATTACAGGCTGAGCCACGAAGCCCAGCAGTGTTATGTATTTTTAAAAAGCTGTGGCTCAGGAGGCTAAGACCAGAGGATCAGCTTAAACCCAGGAGTTCGAGGCCAGGCTGGGCAACAACGCTGTCTCAAAAAAAAAAAAAAAGGGAAAAAAGCTAATGAGCTTCAAGAGAATTTGAGGTCTTTGATGGATTGATAACATTAGGATGGGATGCTTTGTCTAAAGGTGCTTTACCCAAAATCATCATCATTGTTATTTTGGACATAGCAACAAATCAGTTTTACCTCTTTTTTTTTGAGTTGGAGTTTCACTCTGTTGCCCATACTGGAGTGCAGTGGCCGTTCCCCGCCACTGCAGCCTCGATCTGCTGGGCTCCGGCAATCCTTCTGCCTCAGCCTTCCAAGTCGCTGGAACTACAGGCGCGCGCTACCACGCCCGGCTAATTTTTGATTTATTGTAGAGATGAGGTCTCACCAAGTTGCCCAGGCGGGTCTCGAACCCGCAGGCTCAGGCAATTCAAGGTTTTACCACTTAATAGGTAGAAAATGTAACAAGGCAACCAAGTCCCAAATAAAGCAAAAGTTCTTTTGTTTTTTTTAAAAAAGGAGTCAGGGAAAGGAACAGGCAATGGGAATTTAGGACAAAGGAGAGTTTTGTGAGACACATTTCTTGTAAAGGTGGTCCCTGTTCAAATCGATATTTTTGTATGAAAGCTGTGACTCAGATACCTTCTCTCTTAGATTTTTTCATGGAAAGTGGTAATTTT